ATGGTAGCGGAGCTGGGCCGACCCAGTTTCGAGACACGCCACGGGGGTTTCTTTTCGTTGCTTTGCGGCGAGTTCAGGGAGCCCAGGCTTTTGAGAAACCTCTTCTGACTTCCTTGGGTTTTCTCTGTCTTCGGTGAAGTTAGGTAGCATCGCAATCCCGGCAGAGACCGGAAGAGCCACGGCGGCGACACTTGAAAGTGCGGAAGCGCTCAAGCAGCGCATCAGAGAGCTTTATCTTGAGCAATTGCTGCAGAGGCCGCAGCCAGACAATCGGAGTTCACGAAGTTGGCAGAGTATCCTTTCGGGCTTTCAACAAGCTTTGGAGAATCGCCTTAAAAATCTTCATACACCGCTTGAGCTGCATTCCTTTGCGTTGCGTTGCCTAAAAGAGAAGCATCTTAGAGAGGTGTATCTGAGTTTCTGTGTCGAAGACGTGAGTTCAGCTGCCTTGACTGAAGAGCAGGTCCGCAAGGTTGTTTTTGCAGAGCAAGAGCACGAGAATTTTGAGGCTGATCTTAAGTTGTTTGAGCAGACGCAGGAGCCGAGCGCGTCTAGCAGGAACAAAGCTTTTGATTGCAAGCTTCGAGAATCCAAAGAGCCTATTGATCTTGATTGATTGCTGTTCTGTTTGAACAATGGCGCAAGGAAGTGATGGAGCCAATGTTCCCATCGCAGCAAATCCGTTCGACCCAGGGTCTCCAGTGCAACAGGGACCCCAGCCTCAGCCTCAGCCGAGCCCAGGAGCTGTGTCAATGTCTGCGGGGGAGCAGAAGCTTCTTGAAGTGCTATCGGGCATGCAGCAGACCCAAGCACTTCTTGCGCAAATGTTCCAGCAGCAGAGTGCAGGATCGAGCCAAGCTTCGGCTGCAGCCCCTAGTCCCAGCAGTTCGGGTTTAGCAGCCAAAGATCTTAGCAAGGTTCTTAAGCACCCCCAGGAGTTCGGTTGCAAGAGTAGAGATGAGGAGTTGGTGCGTTGGGCGACGTGGTCTTGGGAGTTTGAACAGTATTTAGGAACCTTGGATCGTGAGTACATTCTTGATTTCAAGCGTTTGGCTGATCATCCCAAGAAGGAAATTGTTTTCGGAACACTTTCCAGTGCCGAGCAGGACAGGGCACGGATCATGTATGGGCTGCTGGCATCCCTTGTCAATGACAGATTGCGGCGAGTCCTCAAGACGATTCCCCACCAGAATGGATATGAGGGATACAGGCAGATAGCCCTGGATCTCAAGCCGTCCTCAAGGACACGTGCACTCGCCCTGATGACTGCGATCAGTTCATGGCCCTTGTTCGATCAGAAACAGGGGTTGCTGTCCCAAGTGGTGCGCCTGGAACAGGCCATGTCTGAGTATGATGCTATTGCAAGTCAGAGCTTGTCTGATGATCAGAAGGTTGCATCTTTGTTGCGGTGCCTCAGCGGCCCCTTGATGAAGCATGTGCAGCTTGTGATGGAAGATCATTGGACATATGACACTCTTAGAGCCTTGGTCCTCAGGTTTGATGCCGCGTCCTCCAAATGGAGCTCTTCCATTGCTGCCACCTACGGTTTGGGAGAGAAGGGTGGTTCCTACACGAATGGGCCCACTCCAATGGAGATAGATCGTATAGGAAAAGGCAAAGGAAAGGACAAAGGCAAGGACAAAGGTAAAGGCAAAGGAAAGCATCAGCAGTCGCAGTATTCACAGTCTGGTAAGGGCAAAGGCAAAGATAAAGGTAAAGGCAAAGGAAAGCAGCAGCAGTCACAGTATTCACAGTCTGGTAAGGGCACGTACAAGGCAAATCAGCTGTGTGGATGGTGTCAGAAGCCAGGTCACTACAAGCGTGAGTGCAGAGCGTACCAGGCATACTTGCGTGAGCATCCCAATGAAGCCCCAGGTGCAAGGCAGGTGCAGGACGCTTCGAATGCATCCACAGCTGATTCTGCGTCGTCGTCAGTGCCCTCGTCAGCTGGTCAGTGTGCTGCCAAGGCTAAGGCCAAAGTGAATCGCGTTTCGATGATTGACCTCACTGCTTTTAGCCCAGGAACCAGCGCGCGAGGTTCTCTTTGCGCTGTGCGTTTTGCAGAGCATGTCTCTTCTGTGTTTGACATCAGTGCCAGTGATCATGATGCTGCTTGGACCGTGAGCCCTTCCGTGCTTGAACAGAAGAACATCAGAGCTGTCACCACTGCAGATCTAGCTGAATCCGATGACGAGTCCAGTGCAATCGACATCATCATAGACTCAGGTGCTGATGAGTCATGCCTTCCCGCAGAGATGGCGTGGTGTGGCACGTCACTCGGTGGTGCCACTGCCGACTTTGCAGATGCTCAAGGCCATCTGCTGGACATCATGGATCACAGGACTGTGTTGCTTGAGCTTCCGAATGCTGCGGGAGATTTGCAGTGCTTTCGTGAATCTTGCTTGATCAGCAGTGTCAGCAGCCCCCTGTTTGCTGTGGGGAAACTCTACAAAATGGGTTGGAGTTGCTTTTGGGATGATAATAAGTTCTATCTTGGACTGCAGGGTGAACCCGAGACTTACATCCCCGTATGGTTTAAGCACAATTCCTTGTATGCCAGATGCTACGTGCGACGAGTGCAAGTAACAGCTCCGAGAGCTGTGCGCGTGGTGGCAAGTCTTGGTAATGTGCTTAGCAAGCTAGCCCCGAGGTGTCACGAGTTCCAGGAGATTGTGCCAGGAGTGTGGTGTTTGTCAGTGATGAGTGATCACTTCATTGACGTGACAGCTGCAATGCCCACTTCAGAGCTTCCATATCGCACTACGCTCATTGAGGTTGAAGGCAGCTGGAGGTTGGCTGAGATGTCGCAATTTGTGTACGGTCTTGATGACCCAGCAGCAGCTCTTCCTGAGGTGACCGAGCCCTGCAATTGCATTGTGTTTGCACACGAGCAGGTGTGTGCTCCAGCTGACCTTGGGTTCAGTGTT